AGGCACGTGCATGTTTAGTGAGCATACCTGAGAGCTGGGTTCGAGCTGAATGAAACTTAGGTGGACGGAGTGTATCCTCTTAAAACTGCATTCCTTTAGTTTCTCAGGTACTTGAGTTATCAATTTAGACGAAAAAAATTTTGCGGGCTCGTATGTGGGTACCACGCTTTACCCGGGGGCTGGGTTTGAGCCCACTAATACCCATTTGGCCTGGAAACATTCCCCCAAGATTTCAGTCTCCTAGCTTCTCAGATCCTCGAGTTAGGAAATTGCGCGGGAAAGTTTTGGAAGGCCCGTACGCAGGTACCACGCTTACCCAGGGGCTGGATTTGAGCTCATTAGCACCTGCTTGGACGGGGAACATTCCCCTAAAATTTCAGCTTTCGCGGGTACCACGCTTACCCGAGGGCTGGGTTTGAGCCCATTAGCATTTGCCTGGACGGGGAACATTCCCCTAAAATTTCAGCTTTCTAGTAACTTACTCGGAAGGAACTTTTCACGGGCCTGTACGTAGGTACCACGCTTACCCGGGGGCTGGGAATCTGCTTGGACGGGGAACATTCCCCTAAAATTTCAGCTTTCTAGCATCTCAGAACCCCGAGTTATTCTGCTTGGACGGGGAACATTCCCAGCTGGATTTGAGTCCATTAGCATCTGCTTGGACGGGGAACATTCCCCTAAAATTTCAGCTTTCTAGTCCGGGGGTTGGATTTGAGCCCATTAGCATCTGCTTGGACGAGGAACATTCCCCTAAAATTTCAGCTTTCCTAGCACCTCAGAACCCCGAGTTATGAATTTGGGCGGGAAAAATTTTGGGGGGCTCGTACGCGGGTACCAGGCTCCAGAACCCCGAGTTATGAATTTGCGCGGGAAAAATTTTGGGGGGCTCGTGCGGGGGTACCACGCTAGGGCTGGATTTGAGCCCATTAGCATCTGCTTGGACAGGGAACATTCCCCTAAAATTTCAGCTTTCTAGCGTCTCGACCCCGAGTTATGAATTTGCGCGGGAAAAATTTTGGGGGGCCCGTACGCGGGGTACCACGCCTACCCTCATTAGCACCTGCTTGGACGGGGAACATTCCCCTAAAATTTCAGCTTTCTAGCATCTCAGAACCAATTAGCATATGCTTGGACGGGGAACATTCCCCTAAAATTTCAGCTTTCTAGCATCTCAGAACCCCGATCAGCACCTGCTTGGACGGGGAACGTTCCCCTAAAATTTCAGCTTTCTAGCATCTCAGAACCCCGAGAATGAATTTGCGCGGGAAAAATTTTGGGGGACCCGTACGCGGGTACCACGCTTACCCGGGGGCTGGATTTGAGCCCATTAGCATCTGCTTGGACGGGGAACATTATCCTAAAATTTCAGCTTTTTAGCACCTCAGAACCCCGAGTTATGAATTTGCGCGGGAAAAATTTTGGACAAGATTTCAGCCTTCTAGCTTCACAGATCCCCGAGTTATGAACTTACCCGATAAAAATTTTGGCGGGCTCGTAGGGGGTACCGTGCTTACTTGGGGCCTGGGTTTGAGCCCACTAATACCCGCTTGGGCGGGGAACATTACCCCAAGATTTCAGCCTTTTAGCAGGCCGGGTTTGAGCCCACTAATAGCCGCTTGGGCGGGGAACATTACTCCAAGATTTCAGCCTTCTAGCTTCTTAGGTCCACGAGTTATGAACTGACCCCAAAAAAAACTTTGGCAGGCCCATAAGCGGGTACCACGCGGGTTTTGGCGCCAATTTTGGGGATGGGGGCCCGTACGTGCATGTAGATT